TTGGTGATTAAAATTAATGAGCACCTTCAGAGTCTCTGCAGATACATGTAAAATGCATTGTTTTTTTACCTTCATATTTTGATAGATGAAAAGATTTTTTCATGCTTCCTGACCAAACATTATTATTTGCTTGTCAAATTTACCTTAATATTTTTTGCCATTTAGTTTCAAGACAGTATGAGATGGCAGCAGATAAACGTCTGAGTTGTCTCCATTTAATAGTCACTGAGAAGGAGACTGTAAGGCAACAAGATTTATATTATAATATGATAAGTTTCCCTGCAGGTTTGAAATAAGTTGATTTTTTTTGTTTTGTTTTGTTTGTTTGTTTGGTTTGGTTTTGGGTTTTTTTTGTGTGTTTGTTTTTGTTTTGGTTTGGTTTTTGGGTTTTGTTTGTTTGTTTTTTAAATTTTATTAAAGTATTGTCTTTAAAAAGCTTTTAGAAAAATGTGACATCAGGAAAAAATAGACTTTGCAAATAGAAAAGTCTGTGGTAATACAGCCTAGCAGGGCGAAATGTAAACTTCCTTACTGAACTGAATACAATTTATAAATTTTGTGTGACTGGATCTAAACTTTTTGCTGGAGTTGTTTTAAAATGTGTCTTCATAAACACTTCCCATGGAGATATTCTTTATAAAAATAAATGTTAATAACTTGCTGACAGAGAATTTATAGAACCTCAGTCTCAACCACCTTTCGGCCCCAGGAATTACAGTACAATAAACCCAAGTTTATACAAAGGGTGAAATATACAGTAGGGCAGAACAAAGGGAATGCAGAAGGGTTCTAACTGTTTTCCTAAAATTATAATAGTGGCATATTCCTGTTACTTTCACTGAAGCAGATGCACAAACCGTGAATACTAGTGTTTAATTGTGATCTAAATAGATCTATATCTTATGGAAAATGCCTTACTGTGGCCAGAATCTGTATACACAGTATAACTTTAGCGTAGGTAGAAGTGGTGTTTCCTAAATTGCCTGTCAAGCATGACTTAATCCCACTTTGCAAATACTGCCTACACCAGTGAGAGATGTTAATTTCCATACCCATTCATTTAGAAGGCTCTGCTGAGACTGTCAAAGAGATGCTAATTATTATCAGCCATGATGATCCCTCAGGAATTAGGCTGGGATTGAGAAAACGCCTAATTGCTGAAATTACACTACAGTCAGGGATTAAAGTGATGGGTTCTGCTCCCTTTCTGTTTTTTTCTTTCTCTGGTAGCTTGGGGCACAGCTGTCACAGGCAGTTCTGGGGCTCTTCAGGTGATGTTTTTGTGACCACTTTGTCACCTCTTGGCCTAGTTTATCTGCCACTGGTGCTGATTTTAAGATAAATCATCAGCTTCATTAAAGGCAGACAGCAGAACTTGGAAGTCCAGTTGATTAACTCTGTGCAGCAACACAAAGTGCCTGGAGTTAGGCAGAATTCAAACAGGAGATTCTGCTCTAAGAGAAATTTAGGGGACCTATGATAGCATTAATATCTGAAAATCTGAACAAATTTTCATAAGTCCTTACTACGGTGACAAAATAGCTAAATTTTCATTCAGGAAAGAAATTAAAATTGACAGTTCTGCTGTTGATAAAATCTCCCAGACAGGAGATAATTTTAAATAAAGGCTTTCCTTGAGGATGAATGCCTGTGTCCTTGATAAATCTTTCCTTTTCCATTCCAGTAATAACCAAAGTTTGGGTTTTTTTTTTTCATAGGTGAACATTCTTTATTGTGAGCAAAGCTAAATATATTTCATTTAGTGATATGTGCTGAAAATATGAATGTTCCTTGAATCCACTGGATCCTTTGTTATATCTTAAATATATGATAGCGAGGTAAAGAGAAGGGAAGGTATGTCTGTTTCCTGTGGGTAAAATCTCATGAATTGCAACATTTTTTCTTGCCAGTGGTACATCTTTCACAATTTGGACATCGAGGGTATGTGTTGTGTCTGTGTGAAGCTGGGTCGTTGATGACAATCAAATTGCTCAACTTTTGAAGCCTTCTACTCTTTTTTTTGCTTACTTTGCTCTCTGTATACATTTTTTATGGCAAAACTTTTAGTGCTGGTTTAAGTCCTTTATTGTACTGAGAGGAGATGGATCCTGTTTGTGAGGACAGCACTGTCATTATTACCTAGACAAGTCAAAGCTGTAGAATTTTCATTACAAGTGGTGATACACAGAGAATGAAGGTGCATAGGGTCTTCTTTTTTTTCCAAACTGAAAAGTGAATATGATAGATTGGCAGGTATTTCTTTTTAAACAATTGACTCCTGTATATCAAAGTAAAATAATGCAGAAATCTCTTTTAAAATCTAGGTGGACTGCCCATCTTTAACTAGGCTACAGAAGTTAATTTTGAATGCCTGTAGTTTCAGAGATGGTGATGGTATATTACCAAATGCCTTGAGAATGAGTCCTGGTATTTTCTATATTAAAGACCTGTTGTGTTTCCAGGTCTCCAACAATTGTAGAACTGTATTGATTTAATTTCATCCGAGTCTTCCACACAAACAATAGTTATTTTTAGTTTTCAGTTATTTTCTAGAATATTCTATCTTATTTGAAGACTCCCACTGCCCACCAAATAATATCACTTTTTTTCAAAACAACTACAAAAAAATACAGCAGGAATTTTTATTTAAAGTCTTTAATCTTAGCACAAATAATCTTTTAGTACTTGAGCTACAGTTCCCTTTCTTGCTCTCTTCTCAATTTTGCTTCTTGCAGTTTCTCACCTGCAGAAGGTATGTTATCTACTGGGAGCATTTTCTTTTCTTGTTCAGTGCTTGTTTTAGGTGGTTCAACTGCGGGCTTTCATCAGACAGTACTCTTGTCTGTATTTAAACTACTACTATTTTTCTCAAAGGTGTAATAATCATTCATATTGCATTACATAATATAAAAGTAAGAAATTTAATTTCCTGAGGAGTAAAGGAACTTTACTTCCTTAAAATGGTGCTGAAATTTAGACAGAAAATATTTTCAGAATGAAAAACTAGGTTTGCATCTCAGACTGTTTCTCATTTTTCCCAATGACTTTGTGTTGAGCACTGAATAATATTTTGCTGAAGGTTTCTTTGGCCTTTACACAAGTACTATAAATTAACTCATTAATGGGAATTATTTTAGGGCAGCAGTACTGGGTGTGTGTTTAAAGTCTTATGTTGATGCTTCAAGTATATGCCCTCTTTTCATTAGCAGTTTTAACAAGGAGTTTGGCTTAAAAGAAATGAAACACAAAACGAAAAGCCCCAAGCCTGTGGTGGTCAGTCATCACCTATGAGCCAGTCTGCTGCTGTTCATAAGATTGCATTCTGGGCTGTCTGAATGAGAAACTTTTTTTGTGTGTGTGATATTAAAAGAAAAATTCTTATTTAGAAAGAAGAGAAAAAATTCTCTTTTAAATTGTTTTTGTTCTGTATCTAAACAACAGAACAATGCTGAGCATGAGGGCCATGATCACCATTGCATATTACACAAGTCACAACAGAGACATTTTTTATCTAACACCAGCATAATGTAGGTTTTGTGTATGAGGTTAACCTCTTGATCTACTTCTTGGCCAAAGTAGAGAGTGTGGGAGGAGAACAGCAAAAAGGATAAGAGCTAGTAATAGTTAAGTTGTTCAAGTTTGTTGGGTTCTTGACAGTAAACTGTTTTATATGTATTAATTATGAAGAGGCCAACTTTAGGCAGTGATGTTGGACTAAATAAAATAGTATTTGTACAGATGTTAGACATACCACCCCCAACATGCTGCAGGTAAACAGTAACTATTATGAAGATATTTTCAACATTTAGCACTGGAAAAGTAAGCATATCTAGTTAAAGTTTAATGTGGAGAACTAGGCAGTAGTTTAACCCTTTCCAGCATTTATTGTGAGAATGTGTCTTGTCTGTACTGGACTTTGAAACTTGTTAATTAAGCTTGTGCTTTGGAAATATGCCTGTTGTCACCCTACAAATATCTGTAAGCCTGTGATGTGGTATAGTGCATGCTGGTAAATATTTAGTATTATTAAATGTTCAGGATGTCCTTCTTTGTAAGCACTGGAGCCTCTGTTCAATTTAACAGTGTTCTTGGTCAGAAGCACGTTTTTTTTTTGAGAAACCGTGAAAATGCCACTTGTGGGTTGTATATTATCCTCCTGTTTCACTTTCAGTAGATGTGAAAGGAATGAAGAAACAGGACTCGTTATTTACTTTCTGTGAGAATCTTTTGTGTTGAATATCAAAATTATGGCATCTTTCATCCATGTCAAGATTAAACCTCTCTAAATTGCACAGAAAGTAATAATCAGGGAAGTCACCGTAACAGCATCAGCCTCAGTCACCACATTATTATTTAATGTATTTCAGTTGAAATTTGTGCTGTTATGGGTATCATTGTCTTGAAAATGATAGGTAGTTAAGGATTTTATTTTTAAAGCAAGCATACCAAATGAAAATATGCTACAAGATGTTGATAGCTGGAATAAAAATATCTACGTAACTTCTTAGTGCATTACTAGTGGCTTTTTGGGGGGGGGTTGGCTTAAGGAAAGATCTGGTTTTCTTGAGATTTGAGCTTCAAGGAGGTAATCGTCAAAGCAGAGAGGGCATTGTGTTTTAAGTGTGGATAATGCATATTTTATGAATGTACATGGTACGTTAAATATGAACCAGGTAAGAAATCATAGTTTAGGTAAATGAACAAGGACAGAGCCTACTTTACTCAGCCTCAGCGAAGGAGTCAGTGAAAATCTAGACAGATTACCCAGTTCTTGCTGTCCACTGACTACAAAGAGGTATCAAAGGAAGCTTTTCTTCTAGCTTAAATTTAGTCTCTTTGAATTTCCCTTTATGCCATCTGCTTTGACACAAACTGCTCCCAGATCTGACCCCATCTTAGCAGTACAGAGGTTTTAATTAAAGAAACCAAATTTTAAGGATTGTCTTGTGATGTTTCGTATTTGAGTTCTTTTTAGCTTTGGTCCTTTTTCCCTTTGGCAGCACCGGAGCGAAGGGATTCCTCCCTCCTGGGGAGCCCAGGCGTTGCTGACACAGCTCCAAGAAGGAAGAGAAGACAAAGGACAGCAAAACCTACTGGGACAGGGCCTAAGGTGGCAGCTTATGAGGCAGAACAACCACCTGAAGAAAAGTAAGCAGTTTTTAAATGCATTTAAATGTTTTTAAACCTAAAGAAGCCGTAGAATTTGTTGTGTTCCAAACCCAACTGATCATGGTTGGGGTTGGTGACCTCCAGAGGTCTCTTCCAACCTCATCACCCTGTGGTTCTGCCTGTGAAATTTCAGTGGAAATCAACTCACAATACCATGTTTAATGGACCAGAATGGATTTCTTTTGAAAATAAAATCTTAGGGGAGAAAAAAATCATTTGGAAACATGAGTGTCAGAATTTGTAGCACTTGTAGGTATTTTTCTTCTTATGTCAATTTCGACTTCCGGAAATATTTTCACGTGGTCTGGGAGTTGCTTAGTTATGCAGAGTATTACCTCAGAGCTGCAGTATGGTTAGTGGCATTTCTTTAAAATATATGGCAAATTATATTTGAAAATACTTATAGTCCATTTTTGTCTGTAATATTCCATGGATAACAAACTCTTTAAACCGATAGGAACACAAGTATATTACAAAGACATTTCCCATGATTAGCAAAGATTTCTGTTTAAATAAACAAGAGAATTATCTTTTATTATTATATTTTGATGTAGAAGATTGTGGCTTGATGCCAGCTAGGAATGTTTAAATTTACAATCCTGTTTTATTAGTTAAAAAATTATATTTTTTAGAATGGTGTAGAAAAATATCAGATTCTACTTTTTCTGTTCTTTTACAGTACATTGCAATGAAAAATACCCATTCCCCATTGTATGTTGTCCATTTAATTTTGAAAGTCTGCCTGTGTTTGGCTGAAATTAAGTTTCACTTTTTTTTAGTATTGATTGTTGAAGCAAAACCTGTGGAAGCAAATTATTGCAGAGGAGTATAGAAAGGCCTTGGACTGAGTATTCCTCTGTGTAGGGGAATGACTAAGAAAATACTGATATTTTTGTTTTAATTCCCTTAGGTAGGGCAAATTTTAGAAAGAAACAGAGCAGTTAAGTTTTTCTTCTATACAATCAAGTTCTAATATGATTACAGATCAAGTCACAGCTGAACCTGAAGAGTGTCTCTTCTTCTGGGCTATAATATAGTTATATTTTAAAGCTTGGGATATGGAACATCCATTCTGTCAGTCTCTATTCCCCTTTTTTCCCTTTGCACTATGTGGCAGTGGTTGTTCTTTGGTTAGCTAAGGAGATACAAAATCTCTGCATTTACCTGAAAAATTACAACAGCTGAACCGTAAGAATTTTCACTTTTCTGATTATTTTTCCCAGCGTCCTTGAGGGTTTTTGAGCTTCATCTTCAGTCTTTTGCCAGCTGCTAATCAAGTTTTCAGTCAATTTACTTGGCTAATAATTTTCACTTCTCTCCAGCCTGTCAAAAGTAGGGAGATGTGGAATTAGCACCAGTTCACAAATATAGGTGTTCCTTTTTTATGAAGCCTCTCCAGTAATTTGTGCTGATGGAATGCCAGATCCTACATGGTACAAAAAGGCTTTATCTTAAGCTGACAGGATGTTGGGGTCCTGCCCAGAAATGTTTTCCAGTATTGGGTCACTGAGCAAAAAAATAAAATTACTAATTTCAAGCAAACCACCCCAGCCTGCTGGGGCGGCAGGGAGGCAGGGGGGGAAGTTAACCTCAGAATTCCTTCACCTCTGGAAGGGCTCCATCACAAACATGGGAGATGTGCAGACCTTGGAAGCGTGTCGTGGTTTTTCTGCTTGGCAGGAGGATCAAATGACAGATTGTGATCACGTTTTCAAATGCACGAACGACCCCTTGTTTCTGAACACTCCTGCACAGACCTGCAGAAGGAGTTGGTTCTTTAATGTAAATGCTAATGTAAATGCTTTATAAATAAGGTGCAGTTGCACAAAACCATATCCAACAGTCCTTGCTTTAACAAATAAAGCTTATTTAGAATTATTTTCCATTTGAAATTTTGGTGACATCACTGGTGATCATTTCATGTTCACCAGGGCTGTCACAAGCCAAACATCAGGAGCCTAATACTGTCTTTATGTTTTTGCATCATAAATTGACTGATAAAAGATCTTAAATCAGACGAAAAAAATACCTCTTCTTCAAAGGAATCAACCAAGTTTTTCTTTTCTCCTTGCCTTTCAGATTGTTTTTTAAAACCACAGTTTTTCAAGTCATTGTTACATAGAAATTATGCCTTAACTTCTACATATTTCTTATAAGATTTTAAAGTATGCAAAGAAGGTAGCATTTATCTTGAAATAAAAGGCATCTAAAGTAAATACTGAGTCATGAAAACTGAAAGGGTTCTATTTCTGTAAATATTTTAGATTTATGGATGTTGTTGCTAGTTATGTGGCAATTCTCTAGTCCTTTGGAATGAAAATATATTCTTAGATATGACCAAGAACACTCAGAAGAATGCAAATAAAGATCTGTTTGACATAGAAATTAGAGCAAAAGGAGTGCTACCTTTCTCATGCTTTGTATGTGGGTGCGGTGGCAGAAAAGGCGGTTGAATTGTGTTTATCCACATAGACATCTAGTATTACATTGGCAATTTATTCAAGGGCTAAATCAACATTTTTAATGAAACTTGGCAATGTGCTTTGGATAATATGAAGCTTAGTGAAAGCAGCCATGAGATCAGCAAAGAGGTGAACTAGGATTTGTGGAACAAGGTTGCTAAATGAACTGTTTAATTATTTGCTGAAATAAAGACGTACTTTAGGATAAAGCAGAAATTTAGGATAATTACTTGGTCAGTGAACTGTCAAGATTTTGAGGTTTATCCGGCTCTCTAGCAGGTTGTTTTTCAAATCTGATATTCAATGAAAGGAAATGCTTCCTTAGGCAGACAGATGTTACTTTTAGTTAATAACAGTTGAACTGTGGCTTTTAATTTACACATTTTAAATGTGACAAAGGATGGATCTTGCAGTTCAAAACATGATTGAGCCAAGAAGTTAAATAAAATTATTCTGATTCTAGTAAACTGTGATGGTATTGATGCAGCTTTAACTGTAACTTAATATATGGCAATTTCCTAAGGTGCAAAGCAGAGATAATATATAAGTCAAGTTAAGATGCAAATTCTACTTTTCACAATTTGCATTTCATAATTGGAGTGGAGAAATTAATGAGAGTGTTCCCAATCCACAGTTAGAAATTGTGCTTATTACCCAAATCTCTCTGCGGGCTGCATATGAATGACACCATTAGCCATGTGGAATATGCATTCAACAGAGAGGCTTAAGTGTAGGGCCTCTCAGCCTGAATCCTGTAAATAATTGGATGTTTCTACAATATCTTCACTTTAAAAGTATTTGAACCTATTTGAGAGTAGACAGTACCTACTGAGGATCGCAAATTTTTTGATATAATGTTAAAAATTAAGCACGGTCTGTAGTCACAGAGTACACTGGAACAGAGCTGGAGCCTCTGTAACTAAAAAAAAGTAAATCAGGAAAAAACCTGCCTTTCTAGTGCAACTTACAACTTTTACTTTGCTTCCATGAGGGAAAAATTCCATCTTTCTGCTTTGGTTTAACAAAATTGGTTTTATTTAATGAGTTAAGAAAAGCAAAAGCCTTCCTTTTTTTTCTGTCCGTCATTTTTTACTAATAAAGGATCTAGTTTTATGGTCCTTATTCACACATGGATTTCCTAGGAGGAAGGCTTTCCTGGATAATTTCTATAAGTTACTCTATGTATTTCAAAGTATAATCCATTCCAGCTGCTCAGTAGTGTTCCTAATTTCTCTACTATTTAATAATATACATATACACACATATACATACAATTGGCAGAAGTGGTTTGGGGGAAGGCATCTCAAATACAGGAAAAACATTATTATGGATGCAAATGTGCTGGATTCTTCTGAGATGAAGACTAGAGAAAACCAAAAGATGTTATTATACAGGAATTGTTTCATAATTTTGAGAAGCAATGTTAGGAAGTACTTTTAGTTCAATTGACTGAAGAATAACAGGTGTTATTTGCTTTTATACATAAATGCTGCTTTTTCAGAGAGCTCAAAGGGTTCAGCATATTTTTGGGGTTATCAGCAGCATCCAAGAAAATAAAAAAACCCCATACCCAGACTGGTGACTGCGTATTTGGAAATCCCAGGAGTTGCCAGGGAGTGTTTTGTGCCGCCTGCATTGCCACCAATTGCTCCATCAGAGGAGGCCAAACAGAGAATGTAATTTTTACTTTAAACACGATTGTTACAGTCCTCACAACTCGGTGTTTGTTCTTGACTTCAGGGCCTGATTAAAGTTAGTCATGTGTGTAATTGTGGGTAGAAGGGGCTGCTGCATAGTTTTTGCTTGTTAATGATAAATGTGATTTTTTTTTTCAGTTTTCATACTCTCTTTCTGTACCTTCAAAAGGTTTTTAGAGTCTTCATCCCAGTACTGTAATAAGCTGGACTTGTCTTTCTTTTGATAACCTTCCACCCCCTTAAAAGTGCTCAGAGCCTGTGGTGAGCCAGGAGCTCCCTGGGGATCCTCTCTCTGCATTTGTTTAATTTACTACTTGCGGTTCACATTTTTAAAATGCTAATGCAACATTTATTTAAAGTGTGGTTTGCCACCACCAATGACTCAGGTAGGAGAAACCATAAATTTGTATCAGAACTGGGCATTCTCAGAGGGTTACACACAGACATGGGTTTTTTTTCTGTCTCACACAACAACTAATTCTTCTTATAAAAAAGTTTAAGCAGGGAAAAATTGGATCCCACTGAAAATGATACCATAACTTTAAATGCTGCAGAGGGGATATATAGATTGCCCCACAGTTACCTCCCTTTTAAAGAAGGACATATTTAAGAGTTCATGTTGACATGTCACTTTTTTTTCATTAACTGTATCTATTTAATACAATAGGAGAGAACTTGGTGTGACAAACACTGTAGTCACTGGTGTATCAGTGAGTCAGTGCACTGTCTGTGTACAGAGGCGATAAACTCATTCCTGCCATAATAAATTTATGGAATGCAGTGTTTAGAAAGTTTTTGATGGTTAACTCATTCAGACTGA